GAGATATACGCAACCCCCTTTATCTTCCTATCTCTTGACCTTTAACCACCAAAATGTAATAGTATTAATCTCCCTGATAAACAAATTCCCTGCAAAATTTCATAAATTTTTGACAAAAAGCACAGGAGTTATTAAACTTTAAACTGGGTGAACAAAATCATACTCTTTGTATGTGCGTTAATATCCATATATACAGAAAAACCACCTGAATTTTTTTGCATTTCTCAGCATTTCAAGGTTCCCTGAGTCTAAAAATCACAAATATGGAGGTCAGTTTTTGACTGATTTACAAAAGTAGATATATTGAACACACATAACATGGTCAAGAACTTTTTAGATATAAATAATTATATTTAAAGTTATGATCCAAATGTTATGCAAAATTTAAAAATTTGATATTTTGCTGAGTTATGATGGTAACATAATTCACTCTTTACAAAAAGGAAAGAATCATTCTGTATTTTTTTTTGGAAGGAAGCTAATTTATTCAACATTTTAGTTACAACTGTGATTGTCAGACAGCATTCTATCAAAGATACTAGAGAAGTGACATTCTATCATTCCATAGCTTATCTCTTCAAGCAATCAATTCATATGATCTGTATGTGGAGAGATTGATATTCTAAGCCATCAGTTTTGCCATGAATGGAAACGAAGATTTCCCAGCCTTCCTCTGATTTTTCATTACTGGATTATCTAAAGTCATAGGTATAGAATGCTTCATTAGCTGTGTTGAAAGACTCTGACATCATGTTCTAGCTTTACTAATGGAAATGCTATTTANTTTTTTTTTTTTTTTTTCATAAGACTGAACAAAGCTATGCTCTCTACAATATCTTAATAAGACCACTATGAACTTTGAAGAATTGCTGTAGAATTCAAGGAGCCAAATCTACTTTTGATTAAACACTTCTCAAGACACATCTTGTCATCTGATCAAATACAAACTATTTTGAACATAGAAAGAAGTTTCAAGAACTTATAATATTGGGTTGGCCAATAAGTCCTGGCGTTTTTTTTAAATGAAAATTTTGCATGAAAAATAAAATGTTTTGGCAATGTGTTTTATGTTATTTGATAGAGAATTATGTGCTCTACAACATAGTGTGTTTAGTTTTTTTATGCTGATATACTTTTTGTTCTTTTCAGGTCAATAACATGGAATGTCAAGTCGACAAAAAAAAAGAGCATTTTCAACACCTGCTTTTTGTGCTTAATCGACACCGCCCGTTTGTCGGGGCTAAGCCATTCTTTGCGCTGCTTCATATTGACATACAGGCATCATTTTTCGTCGTCAGTAACAATTCAGTAGAAGGAATTGTTGCTTGTGTCCGTGAGTTGATCAATGACAGGCAAGCAAACCGGCAGAGATCGTGACTCGTTGATTTGTGATGTTGTCATTCAAAGCATGCAGAACCCATGTGCCCAACTTTTGAATCTTTCCCACAGAGTGAAGGTGACACTCTATGGTACTATGAAAGCATTCCATTATCTATCTCTCCAATTCCCTCATCGTTTGGCGTGGATCTTCATGAATAAGTGATTCAGTCGCTCCTCATGGAGCTGAACAGAGCATCCGGAGTGATGCATGTCTTTGAGGTCAAAATTGCCATCTTTGAATCGCTTGAACTAATTTTGAACCGTCCTAAGTTCAAAATTATAAAATGTATGGCATTGCTTCTTTGCCATACATTTCACAAATCTCTCGAGCAGCTACTGTGGTTTTGGCACCTCGATTAAACACAAAAAGCAGAAGGTGTTGAAAATGCTCTTTTTTGTCAACTTGACACTCCATTTTATTGACCTGAAAAGAACAAAAAGTATATCAGCATAATAAAACTAAACACACTATTTTGTAGAGCACATAATTCTCATCAAATAACATAAAATGCATTGTGAAAACATTTTATTTTTCACGCAAAATTTTCACTTAAAAAAAATGCCAGGACTTATGTGCCAACCCAATAGATTCAAATATTATCTTATTTCACTTTAAAACCACTTAAAAATAAAACAATCTAAATCAAACAAGTTAATAAAATAGTAACTAACACAACATGAATTAAATAACAATTATTGTATAATTCTAAAAAAATATCTAAAATATATCTTAAACAAAAATAGTTACATAACTCTACTTGTTTCTTTAACTTCTATATAGCTACATATAATAGTTAAAAAACAATTCTAATTATAGAATTTATATTTTCTGATTAATTATAAGGAAGATGTTAATAAACTATCCTCATTATCTCAATTTTATTGTTTATTAATTATTGTTCTAATAATAAAATAACCATTTACTACATGCTTTAGCACTTTGTGTTTGATATTGACATACATTTAGTTTGCTTCTAGATTCAACAAAATGACAATGTTGTTACAATATATAGTGCTCTTAAAAGTGGTCCAAAACTAAAAGGCATTTCAAATTAACATGCTGGCTGTAAGGAATATGCAAATGGTTAAGCTTGTTGATAGGATAATACATAAAAGTGTGAATCAAGATACAAACTGAATATTATTATTATTGTATAATTAAATTTTTACTAATTTTCTTCATAACAAATACTTTTGGCTTTCTTAAAAGGCCATCTACAGATTATCACATTAATCTGTACAAAAATAATTTGCTATGTATACAAGTAAATTTGTCACATATTATATTGAAATAATTTTCCATTAACATTCTACTTTTTAGCTTTAAGTAAAGAATTTAAATGAAACACAAAGTAAGTTTCTATATTTTTATAAATTTATACTTGGTTGACATTGAAACTGATATTGCAGTAAGAAGAAAAAAGGAATGAAATAAAACATTTAAAATTTGATGGATAAAGAAATTATTAGTTTTTTTCTCATTATGATCATAATTTTACATCACTTAGAAAGTCTAATACTTCATCTAAAATTTGTTAAATTTGTATTTTAAATTGTATCACAAAAATAATTAATTTCTTGTTATAAAATATTTGTTTCAAAATTTTACTACAGTTTATTAAAATCCTTTTAAGTGCAAATGTTTGAGCATTATATATCTGTATATCATTGAGCATTATATATCTGTTATAGATTCATAGGATGTGAAAGTACAAATCTTAAAAATTATAAAATAAAACTGCATAATCTTCTTTTATATATATATTTTTTAAACTTAGAATGAAATGTTAATTGTTTAAAAAATGAAAACACATTATTGAAGAATATTTAAGCAAATTATAGTCAACATGTTAACTAATAACCATATTGATAAGATATTGATGATGGCTTATTATGTTGTCTATCAGTTATGTTTAAAATAATTGTTTGATTCATATGGATTTATATTGAATATATGTATATATGTAGGGTAAAGTGATAGCTGGCTGAGTGCCATAGTGAATGATTGTATATGCAGTGGGTGTAGGAGTTGTTCCTAGTTAGCACTCTGAGTAACTGTGGATGGTTATATCAATAATTAAATATAACTGAAAACAAAGAATCACTCAGAGTCCAGGTAGCATTACTGGCAACACATTTGCACAGTAAGTGGGAGTTGTGGGTTTGAGTCCCTCTCTTGGCTGATTTTTTTTTTCTTCCAGAATATTTTACCTGGCATATTTAATTAATAGATAATGAAACATAATCTGTAGAAAATTTTCACAAAAATCTAGGTTAAAATTAATTTTAACTTAGAGTTTTGGTGAAATTTTTTTTCAATTCTAATTTGGAGATTTTCAGTGAAATCATTATTTTTTTCTCAATTATTACTTTCAAAATTACTTTCAAAGTAAATTCAATTACTGTATTTTATGGCATGTAAGATGAACTTTTGTTCAAAGAAAAGGCTGAAAAAAATTATTAAGTCTTACCATATTTTCTGATTGGCATGCTGGTCTATTTGGGGAGATCATGAAATCAGATATTTCCTTATGGTAAAAGCTGGCATGCTAATTTATTCCAGGGAAATGCTGGATGCTGGCATGTCAATTTAACTGAGGTTATGCATCCCTCTAGAGAGCGCATTAGAAAAACAAACAAGTCTTTATTCTAAAACTGTAAAACTGTCAGCATTGCATCAAAAACTAAGATTATAAGTTTAATTTTCTTTATTTTGTCTTCTTTCTAACAAAATAAAATACTTTTGGAATTCCGAAAGTGCTTTTTTTATATATATTTTATTTTTATTTGATTCAAAAATGCAAAATAAACATATTAAATTTAAGAAACTCATTTAAATAATTAAAACAAAAATTTGATATCAAGTACATATAATAATTATAGTGATAAAATCATAAACATTCTTAGCCTAGTTTAACATTGTATGTGCAAGTGTTTTTGAAGATAACTAGAGATAAAATTCACTTTAATCACAATTGTAACTTACGAAAGTTTTTAAAATAAACTTAAAAAGTAGTAAAGTAGTTTAGATAACTTTTTATCATCATATAATAATTGTATATGTCATAAGTGTATTTTTCAACTTGTTAAGAATAAATTGCAATAAAATATTGTAATTTAGATACATTAATAAGATTTATCATTATGTATCTAACAGTAGCACTCGCTATTTTGAAATGTGAGCATAGACCAAAAAAGAATTTTTTTTTGTATAGGAAAAAGCAAACTTAATAATAATGAGGAAACCTACAGACTAATTTATTTCTTACTGACAAACATGAACATCTATAAGTTTTGAGAACTTTTGTGTAATATTGCCCAACTATACAAATTCTTGAAATTCATAAAGAAATGCTTGCATTTAAATTGTTACTAAGACTTTCACAACAATGGTGCGTTTGCTGTTTATTTCCTTTACAACAAAGAAAAGTTCTCATTTTCTATTCTTGTCTGTGTTCATATTTCAGAATGAATACTAACATTATACTTTTAATGATAATATATTGTAATTAAATGTATTGCAGTGTTTTCTTATCGTTGACAGACATATCATGTTACTGATTTGCTTGTTAAGAAGTTTACTTTATTGTTAAAATCCAATAATTTTTAAAATTGTTTAGGTATACAAGTTGAACCATATCTAAAAGCCCTTCATATCACGTTAGCATACCAGTTTCAGCCAGAACATTATTCAACATTGGAACGATTAACCAGAGATATTGATACAGATGCAGCAGCTTGCTGGGAACTAAGATTATATTCACGTGATACAAGAATAAAAGGAAATGAGGTATAATTAACATATCTTACTAATTTAATTCATATTTAATAATTTCAATAAAATAGTTAGATTTTTAGTACTTTAAAGTTTATTTAACTTATAGCTGAAAGGACTAGGAATCTAACTATACTATACTCTCGATGTTCATGGAGTGTTTGGGAATTCACTCGTTTGTGATCAGAAATTTATGGACCAAAATTTCAACTTTTGTGAAAGGTTTGACCTTTTGGGAAATGAAATTGTGTTACAAAAATAGAGATAAATGAAGTTGAAGATGCCAAATTTTCTATACATTTTTATATTTTAATGTATGCTCTGATTTTTTGATAAAATTATTCTAGAATTGTTTCACAAATTGTAAGGCACCTTCTTTTGTTACACAACATGTTTCTTGTGTAAAAAGACTAAAAATTAGGAGAAACTTCTTAACATATAGGCATTAAATTACAAATGAATGTCACTAGATCGACTAAGCACTTTTGACGATAGTTATTTTCGTCTTCGTCAGGTCATTAAAAACGGTTAGTCCTTTTTTGAATATGAATATCAAATTATTCCAACGGTATTAACGTTTTGGAACGAAAGCAACAGTATAACGTAAGAAAAAAGAATTTAAATAAAAACACGCACGGTTATAATGCGCATGTGCTATAAGCCTCCAAACTGTGCAGCTAGATACATTGTTTTAGGCAGTTATACAAGTTAACCCACAAAGGAGGCAAATCAAGTGTGGGGTTGCATGGATTTAGTATGTTGGTAAGGAGGGCCTCCCAAATATACACGAGGCTTCTGTTATTACAATGTCTTAGAATGACCACCTGGCCCCATAACGGGGTGTGTTGGTGTTGCAACACCATTCTAACAAGCTCAGTTTCGCTCTTGCCTGCCCTGATAGAACAGTGATGTTCCGAAATACGATAAGACAACATTCTGGTTGTCGCGCCAATATAGTGGGTGCGACCACCCGACATATTTGCGGTGAAGGCCCATATATGGGCATGCTGACCCATAGCAGCGAAGGCCCATATATCTTCTGTCCTAAACAACATTTCACAAAATGAGTATAGTTTCTACAAGAGAAGAGGGTGGCATTGTCTTCAAAGAGATAAGAAATGGAATCTTTTTGCTCCTGCATTTTTAAAGTTTTTTCTTATAATTCTTATTTGTTATAAGTATTATACATTTTTTGAAAGCGTTATTTATAACGACCAAGAATATGTTATGTTAGTACAATTTGAATATTTCTTTCTGAAATTACACGTTTTTGAAACTTCCAGTTATTTGGACTTCATATTCCAGACCATCTCAACCGATCAACTGGAACCTGATCTAGTGGCTTACTCACACTACTTAAGTGAGTACATGTTTCAAATTTTGGGGTTCCAGGCCTGGTATTTAAGGAGTTATTAACCACTTCCTGTTATTTTTTGGCAAGCCGTAACTCACTTCCAGTGGGCTATATCTGAATAATTTTCAGTCATTTCTTAGAAGACATCAAATGTGAATTTATCCCAAAATTTCACAAGTATAGCTTTAATAGTTTTCAAATTATCGTTGTTCTACGAAATCTTTAATTTTCAACATTATCAGTCTCAATAGCAAAGGTCATTGACCTCTACTACTGGAATTTTCTAGAATATTTCACGGAAGTTGTATTTTTCTCTATTTCTATTAATAATTTCCTAGACATATCATATATATTTCTAGATTCGTCTGGAGTAGAGGAAGACGTTGCACATAATTATAAGCTAACAAAATTAATATATTAGACGATATTAATATTTTAAGTTAAAATTTATTATTTTCTTCAGTATGGAATTTGAAATACAAATATTCCATGATACAGCTTNTAGAGGAAGACGTTGCACATAATTATAAGCTAACAAAATTAATATATTAGACGATATTAATATTTTAAGTTAAAATTTATTATTTTCTTCAGTATGGAATTTGAAATACAAATATTCCATGATACTGCTTATGGTATTTTCAATGAGATTAAGAGATATTCCCTGCAAAATCGAAATGCTAGATTTGGGGTAGAGTGTCATTTAACATATATATTGACACAATTCACCAGAATTATAGAATTAGCAGAATCTACCCTTAAGAATAATAATTTAGTTGAACAAACACTTTCAAACTTAGTTACTAAAGAGGATTTACAAGACTATAAAGATGCTCAATTTGATGAATCTAAAGAAATTCTAATGGATATTCAATCTACAGTACATAACCGAAGGAAATCTACTTCTCACAGTCTTGCTGGCGAAAAAGTTCCTAGCACCCTTAGTTATAGAGATACCCTACTAAAAGGAATAAAACCAACCTTACCTGCAAATGTACCACCTCCACCGGAATACACAGTTTTGGTATATAGTGATAAAGTCAATGCCACTTGTGATGAAACTAAACATAATCTAACTAATAACGTGCAACCTGATAAACTTGGCATAGGGATATGTAGAATAAGGTAAATTAGGAATGGAGAACTTGCAATTGATTTAAGTCATAAGAATGAGATAGACTATTTTAAAGAGAATGTTGAACAAGCTCCTGGTTTGGTTTCCAGACTGCCGAAAAAGCAACTTCCACTAATCAAACTTGCTTCCGTTCCTAAAGGTATCAATAAATAAGATCTCATATTAGATATCTTTGAGCAAAACATGTACCTTCTATAAACTTTTACTGATAGCACTTTTGCTGAGAACATGCTACTATTAGATTTCCACTTAAAGAAAAGAATGAAAATTAACTTTCATGGATTCTGGAGGTATCTTTACAGGTTAGGGAGAAGTTGGTAAAAGCAGGGAAAATTCACCTTCTTTGGTCGACATGTCAAGTTTTTGACTTTTTTCCTATTACTCAATGTTATTGATGCTTATCTTTTGGTCACGTAGCAAAAAATTGTACCTCAACAGACAATGTGTGTAGTCATTGTAATGAGAATCATCTATATAAAAACTGCCAGAACAAACATAATTCACCGAAGTGTGCCAATTGTTTATGAGAAAACACAGCACATAACTGTCATAATACAATGGATAAAACTTGTCCAGTATATCTTAAGGAAAAAACCAAATTTCAACAAAGGATTAATTATCATATATAGATATTTGCATAGACTACTTTACATCTTTGTACATCATCAAGTATACTGTTGTATTCTGAATACTTTGATTTATTTATAATAGTCTGTTTTTCTAAAAATCAAAGGACACATTACTCAACGTTAGTGTTGGCCTCAACTTTGGAGAGTTGCTGTTTGTTGTATATTTTTATTGTGATTTGTGAACACATGTTTCACGACTATGATAAAATTTGTTTACTCTTCGCTAATAATAGCAACTCACTGAGTATGTATGTAGTTGTATAGTTGTATATAGTTACTGTATTTAAAGTTAAGCCAACTTTGTTTTCTTACATATTGCTTTTTATATTTATGATATTGATATATCCTATGTACAGTCGACCCCCCTATAAGACGGTAGATACGTTCCATTCTTTATGAATCGATTTCTTACGAGTCCTTGCCAACCACAGCCCGACACGTGTGAAGTTTACGGACTACGGCTGTTTGAAAGGTTTTCTTCCGTAAAATTAATCGATTCTAGACTAATCCGACTCAACATTTCCAAAATACGTATATTTTTTTGGGGGAATAATCCGTATAAACTACGCTATAAACAAAAAATTGTAAGATTACTTATCGAGTGTGCACCATTCGACATCACCGTTGCTCAAGCTTGTTTTCGTCGCGGAGCAGCGCACCAAACCGCGGCCGACTTTTGATAACTTATTTTACTGCGAAAACTTTGTTGAACTTTGGAGACATCATTAATATAAATAATTTTTATGGCCGTTGAATAAGAAATGTTTATTTCACAAGAAATGTATAAAATTACAGTACTGTATTAGACTTACGGTACCTAATTTACATACTGTACAGACGATAGTATTCTCTCCATAGCGTGGCGCTGGACGGTGGAAAGTAGTTCGGCTGCTCAATGATGTTTTACGTAGTTATAGAAGTTTTTTTACCGTTTTATACGGATACCATCGCAATTTTTTCGCCGTCTTATAGGAATCGTAATTATAGGAACCCATTTTATAGGGGGGTCTACTGTATTTATTTCATGTTATGTTACATTAACAGTTATATATATTATGTATTTATAGTTTAGTATTTTATTGTATGTATATAGTTGTATATAGTATACATTTTATTTTATTTTATTTCATTTCTTCATCATTAGTCCATTGTGTATAACATGTACTTCTGAGTATTGCTATTGTATTGAGTTTAGCCGGTAATGCTTTCTGCAGGGCCAGCCTGTATATATATATATATATATATAAAAATATATATATTTATATGTACAATAAATAATAATGAATGAATGAATGAGTTTCTACAAGTTGGATGTAGTTGCTCTTTATCCCTCGGTACTGCAGTTTGAGGCTGTTATGCTTGCTAATGCGCTACTAATCAAGAAGGGCTTTACAGCGCAAGAAGTTTTAGAGTTACGCGAAGCTCTACTTTTTATTTCCAAAAATAATTATTTCCAGTTCAAGGGCAAAGTATATCTACAGCAGCATGGAGTCCCAGTGGGCTCAGCACTTTCAGCGGTTTTGGCAGAATTGATCATGAGGAATACTGAATTCAAGGTTTTTAGCTTTCTCCTCACGATAGCATATCTGCTGAATATGATGGAAATAAAGCCAAGTGTTTATTTATAACTCAAATGCGAGTTCAAAGTCCAATGTATTCAAAAAACATGGTTTCGAAGACAGCATATCTGCTGTTATACTTTAGATACATTGATGATATTCTAGTAGGTTGGCAGGATATCCATGGAGATTTCCTTGCCTTCAAAGATTTTCTCATGACTGTTTATCCCACAATTAATTTTACTTGGGAAAAAGACAATGAAAGAGAAATTGCATTTTGGATCTAAAAATTACTAAATCCTGGGATACTATACTGTATTCCGTATTCCACAAATTCAGCGGTGTTCCTCCCCTAATCCCTGCTACAGCATACCACCCGCAACATTACATCAATGCGGCAATTGCCCCTTTAATCAGAAGGGCCTTTCTGTTATCTTCCAGTCAAGCTGCTATTGATACTGAGCTTAATGCTATTTGCTCTGCGGTAAATGAGGTGGGCTATACTAATGCCAAGTTTATGTACATCTTAAATAAGGTAAAAACATCACTTTTTTCCGCCACTACACTACATCTCCCAAAAGAATCCACAATAGTTCTTCCTGTGCTACTGTTTTGTGGTCATGTCACTATCCGTATTTGCCGTATTTTAGGCGATGTGCACTTTTTCTGCCAGTTTCTCTGCAGCCAAGTCTTAGGAGGTTGCTATCCAGCAACAGAGATCCTACTTCCACGCTAGAAAGATCTGGGGTTTATTCTATCCCACTGGAAAATATGTTGAGTGGTCACACCCACTATATTGGCGCGACAACCAGAATGTAGTCTTATCGTATTTCGGAACATCACTGTTCTATCAGGGCAGGCAAGAGCGAAACTGAGCTTGTTAGAATGGTGTTGCAACACCAACACACCCCGTTATGGGGCCAGGTGGTCATTCTAAGACATTGTAATAACAGAAGCCTCGTGTATATTTGGGAGGCCCTCCTTACCAACATACTAAATCCATGCAACCCCACACTTGATTTGCCTCCTTTGTGGGTTAACTTGTATAACTGCCTAAAACAATGTATCTAGCTGCACAGTTTGGAGGCTTATAGCACATGCACATTATAACCGTGCGTGTTTTTATTTAAATTCTTTTTTCTTACATTATACTGTTGCTTTCGTTCCAAAACATTAATACCGTTGGAATAATTTGATATTCATATTCAAAAAAGGACTAACCATTTTTAATGACCTGACGAAGACGAAAATAACTATCGTCAAAAGCGCTTGTTGATCTAGCGACATTCATTTGTAATTTAATGCCTATATGTTAAGAAGTTTCTCCTAGTAAACAATTGGCATGCTGTCCATATCTGAATTATAGTTAGACTAAAAACTAAAGGATAAATGTAAAAACAGGTCATAAAACACTTTCAGTTTAGTTTCAACAATTTAATAGGTGATTCACTTGAGCAATAATAATTTTCCCAGTCATTAAGTACTCCATACTACACAGGACAAAAATTTACTCGTTATAGTTGTAAAGTTGCTTTAATTGTGAATATTTACATGTAAATATATTTTAACTGAAAACAAAATGAAGATTTGCTTACAGTAACTATGATGAACTTACTATAACTACTCATAAAAATAAAAATCAAGACTATTATAATAAACATAATGATATCAAATATCAAATTATTTAGTACTTTAATTGAAATGTTGCAAAAAATAATTTATAAATTCTGGTGTTTTAATTTATCTTTGTGGGCTGTTTTTTTTTCAAGCTCTGATGGTCCATAAAACAAAGACAAATGTAAATAACAAAATGAATTTATTACTAAAAGTTAGGTACAAACATGGTTACTTTTCATCATAAATCACTGTGAAGATTGAGGAATTTGTCATATCTGTGGACGAACTTTTCCATCCCCTTGTCATAGAATGTTGCCCCCAGTAAATTGAGATGGCCTTAACAATGTTGTTTTGAAGATCCTCATTAGTCTTAAACTTCTACCCTGCTACCACTTTTTCAGTTCAGGAAAGAGGTGGAAGTCTTCACACATTAAAAAGTTTTAAGCTGGGTGGAAGTCTTCATCACCTTTAAAACACCCAGCATATAGCCTTGATTTAGTGCCGAGAGACTTCCATTTGTTTCCTGAACAGGAAAAGTGGCTAGGAGGACATTTTTCCTGACAAGGGGATGGAAAAGCTCATCCACAGATATGACAAATGCCTCAGTGCCTCAATCTTCAGTGATTATGTCAAAAAGTAACCATGTTTGTACCTAACTTTTAGTAATAAATTCATTTTGTTATTTACACTTGTCTTTGTTTTATGGACCATCAGAGCTTGAAAAAAAACAGCCTACATATATATGTTACTGGCTAAACCTGATTTCAGGCCAAACTAGTTTGTCCTACGCATGTCAGGATATACTAGTTTAGCCTAGGACAATCTAGTTTGGCCTAAATACTTTAGGCTTAACTAGTTTGTCTTAGGCCAAACTAATTTAGAATTATTATTTAAGTCAGTCAAGAATAATGAAGATGAGGATGCTTTTATTTTTATTAATAAACATATGCAATTTTTTAAGTTAAGCTTGTTTTTAGTTAAATTTATATTTATATAAAAATGGATAATTTTCTTTCTAAATAGAATTACTGAATAGAAATGTGAAATACGATAGTAAATAGATATTAGATGATTAAAAAAAAAAAGAGTAAGAAATTATAAATATTAGATCTACCAAATATTTATCTCAAAGTATATTTTCATGATAGGGCTTTAATTTTTAATAAAAAAATCTGATAGTTTGCTGAAATGTATTCAATATGGATTTTTAATAATTTAAATAATTTTAGGTGCACAAAGTGTTATATTCTCATGTTCCACAAGAACAAGATGAATTAGAACTTTTAATTGGTGATTATGTTTATGTTAATCCTGATCAAATCAATAGTTCTGTTGATGGTTGGGTAGAAGGAACATCATGGTTAACTGGCTGTACAGGATTCCTTCCAATAAATTATATTGAAAGATCAGCTGAATCTGATGCTTGGACCTTACACAGGTAATATCATATTATTTAACATTTTTTTAAATTACAAATTCTCATTGTTTAATATTTTAAAATATATATCTTTTGTAGTATTGGAGTTTTTAAGAGTAATTTATTTCATAAATGTTTAGAGTAGCAAATATTTTAATAAAATTATGATTATAAAACCTGCTTTTAATAGAGATAAGAGAGAAACTATAATGTTAGATCCATATCACACACAAACACCTTTCTTTTCTAGCAAATCAAGTTTTGACTAATATTTTCAGCCCTTTTGATAGGTTTTTCTCAGATTACACCCATACAAAAGAGAATGCTTGTTCAACTTTGATTACAAGTTTTAATAATCTCAAACAGACTAAGTATTAAATATTTAAAGAGAATGTATGGTTTTGAACATAAATTTTAATAACTCTTTTATGTGGGTGTAACATGAGAAAAGATCTATCACTCAGGCCAAAAACATTAGTCAAATTTCTATCCTGTATTTATGACATACAGTCAACCCCCCATAACGCAGTAGATACATTCCGCTTTATAAGAATTTCGCATTGTAGGAATCTCAAATACATGAGCCAATCATAGCCCGGCACGTGTGCAGTTTACGGACTATGGCTGTTTGAAAGGTTTTCTTCTATAAAATTAATCAATTCTAGACTAATTTCACTCAACATTTCCAAAATACGTATAATTTTTTGGGAATAATTCGTATAAACTATGCTATAAACAAAAAATTGTAGGATTACTTACTGAGTGTGCACCATTCAACCACACCATTGCTTAAGCTTGTTTTCATCGCAGAGCAGTGCACCAAACGGCAGGCCCGTTTTCTGATAAGTTATTTTTCTGTGAAAAATTCATTGAATTTTGGAGACATCATTAATAGAAATAATTTTTATAATCGTTGAATAAGAAATGTTTTTTCACAAGAAATGTATAAAATTACACTACTGTATTAGACTTACAGTACCTAATTTAGGCCTATATACTGTACAGATGATAGTAAACTCAACTTACACACCTAAACTCTCCATAGCGTGTAAGTAGTTCGGCTTAAGAGACTCGTAGCGTGTAAGTAGTTCGGTAAAAGAGACTCGTAAAATGTGGTAAAACGTCATCACCAACTTGTGTCGTGACAGGATTGGTTCAGATTTGACCAATCCTGTCATGACACAAGTTGGCGATGACGTTTTACTGCATTTTACGAGTCTCTTTTAGTGTCTTTATGCGAATACGGTCGCAATTTTTTCGCCGCGATATGTGAATCTGCATTATATGAACTTGCGTTATAGGGGGGTCTACTGTATATCATTTTGTTTAGTCTGTTTATTTAAGAAATATGGATATTTTATTTCCATTAAACTACAAGCATCCCTTTTACATAGAATAGAGAATGTTATTCTTTGCTAGAAAAGTCAGTGGAACCTCACTTAACGAGCATAATTCATTCCAGAATCATACTCGTAATGCAAAACACTCGTTAAGTGAAACAATTTTTCCTAAGAAACTAATGTAAAATATGATAATGCGTTCCACACCGAAAAAATACTCAAATATTTTATGTATAACTTTTATTCAAAGAAAATTGTACAATGTGCATTGTTAAGAGTGTGAATTATCATCATCATTTCTTCTAGTGCAGAATGAACCAACCTGGAATGTGAATTTGATTTGCAGATAACAAAAAAAAAAAAAAAAAAATAACACAGATAATGTGTGTGATAAACATGTCAAACAATATGCCAAATTCTTGGGCTATGTAAAGGCTATAATTAAATAATAGAAATTAATTAATTTGACTAGAGGTAGGCATAAATTTAATACGAGACAGAAGCAATTATGCTTCCGTCTCGTATTAAATTTAATAATTATAAATAGTTAATTCAAACATTCCTAAAATTTAATTTGGAATTGGTCATATATCATTTGCTAGAGGTGCTCTAAGATGCTAGAGGAACAAGTGCTAAACACAGACTGAAGGAGCATGCGCACAATTTGGGACTTTTCCTCTCCTCGTCACTTGTTATGCAAAATATTGCTCCTTGAGCGAGGCAAATTTTTTCAATTTATTTTGCTCAAGTGAAACACTCATTATGCGAGGTTCCACTGTATTTATAAAATCTCCATTAGGTGTGATTCATTAAACTCTAATTTCTATCACATAGTGGCTACATCTAGAATGTTTTACAATAGGTTATCTGAGCACATGGAAGATATTTTGCACAGAAAGTATACTATGAAACTGATTTTAAAACTGTTATTTTTTAATTATGAGTCTTTATGGTTAGATGCTAGCCTGCTTCATAAGTGCAGCATTGTAATGTGTTATTTATATTTAGGTAATTGTCATTAAATCAAAATTCAAAAAATCACAACTTCAAATTATTGAGTTTCGAATTATCCAAGATATACATATTCTGTACAATATATCAAATGCCATGTAACTGATGTGTGAGATTCTAGAGGGGGGTAATTAGGTAATTAAATTAATTAGTTCAAACAGAAGAGAGGTGGGAAAACAGATGTAATTTATTAATCAAATGGAATACAGCTATGTAAACTGAATGCTATTTTTGTTAGTTAATTAATAGTAATATAAACAAGTAAAACGGCAAAGCTGTATTTGTGACAAGACTATGTTTCGAAGACTCACTGCTAAGCAGGATCACTTCGACACTCACGACCAGGATTGTCACTCGCAACATATGAAAGTACTTGGGTCTGGATGGGAAAAACCCAGATTTACGCAGAAAAATTCATGATTAAAATGTAATTATAAATACTTTATCATAGTACATTCATGCTGTTATAATTACAGACACTATAATACAAATTTAAAAAATTGTTTATTATCTAATTTACACAGTAGTTAATGTTATTTCACAGCTATTCTGTTCTTCTTTTTCCATTAACAGGTACTGCACAATATTTATGTTCTTCTTGTCGCTTTTTATACCTTTGGTGGCAAACTTTTTGTACTGCATCTCTAATTAGTTCAGATTCGGGTTCATACAGCGAACTTCTAAGATTTTTCCTACTGATCGCTTGTTTAGCAAGCAACCTGTTCTTTGATGATTCAATAGTTAAATTAACCCCAGTGTTTTTGAAATTGTTGTATTAATTTCAAAATACATGTAAACCATTCGGATTTTTAAGTAGCTGGAGTTAAGATGTTGCTGTTTGTGTCGTGATAGCAGATCATTGCGGGGTATGATTTTATAACTTGAGCAGGTGCTTATATGTATCTGAGTGTTTTTAACTCCACGTGATTCAGAATTCAGCGAACAAAGTGCTAAGCTTTTTGTTTTTGTTTATAAAATCTAAAATTTTTTTATTATTTAAGTCATTTTATTTCAATAAATATAAAATGACTTATATCATTATCCTGTTTCTTATGANGATTTTTTGTATGTTTTTTAATTGGTTGATGATTGATTCTATCAACTAATTTGTCAATTGTTTGATTGTATTAACTTGATTCTTCAGATATCAAAAATTAAATAAAGAACATTATGTTAATTTAAGTGTACAGAAACATTGCTGTTGTTCCAGCAAAGATCTTATTTTCACTTTACCGAGTGCCTAGTAGGTAATTTGCAGATTATCTAGATAATCTGCACATTTCCTAGGCAATTTGAGAAATAGAACAATTTTAGCAACTTTAACAGATCACCCTAGTTAATCTGCAGATTAGCTAGGTAATGTACATGTGACCGAAGGGTCGGCACTTCTTTGGTGCCCTGTCAGGATGACACCACCGCGTCTCGGCGGACACGGAAGCCACGTTATTTAGGTCACGCGAGTGGTCATGTAACGGAGCGATCAGAGTCGAGATAGAAGGAGAGACAACGCACCGGAAGTGATTTACTCAGACGCTTTTTTAACGTAACAACTGTTTAATGGTTAACGATAGNAATGCTAACCCCCTGTAACAAGATTTTTTCTTACTACAATAAAACTATGTTGTTATCTATTTATTTATGTTTTCAAGATTGTGCATGATATCACAATTTATAGTATAGGTGTAATTTGATATGTTTCTGGTTGATTAATTTTGACTTCAATTTTGTATTTATAATTTTTTTGTAATTTCTGAAGTCACTGAGAACCAGGAAGAAAAAATTTTTTCTGAACTTATATTTTTCTTTGAGGATACAGTTTTGTTGAATATATATTTTCCCTCCTCCCGACATCAATTAGTAGCCTAAGTTTTTGTGTTCATGCTAAAATGAAAAGGGAATTGACAATTTAGATCAGCTCAATTAAACAATCTTCTCACATTATTATTGAATAATGATGTGAGAAGATTGTTTCTGCTACCTGGACCTCTGTCTGATCTTTGATTCCAGAACTATTAATTATTGGCAATCAGGCAATTAATATGGCAATCAGCTGGCTATAGTTAATTAATTAAAATAGCCAGCTGATTGCCATAGTGGTAAGTTTTAGGTCAGGATGTTGAGTTGTCCCTAGTCAGCACTGTGAGTAACCAGTATGGTTATACAGTCAAACCATGGTTTACAAACTTAATTTATTCCTAAAAGTTGTTTGGAAACTGGTTTGTTCTCAAACTGAAACAAATTTTACATAAGAAACAGTGTAAAATAGATTAATTCATTCCCGACCCCCAAAACCAAGCCTTCTTTACCTTTTTAGCAGCATTTCATACATAAAAAATGCCTACAAATGCAATATAATATAATATTATTTATATACACACCAGTGAGATANTTTGGAGAAAAATGACAATTTCTCCAATGACGACATTTTTCTTCCTGACAGTGACTACGAATCAGATCATCTGAGAATGAAATCAGTCCATGATAGTGAAGTAGATGCCAAAGAGTTACTGGCAAACACAGAATCATCTGTCATCAGATTCTGTATAATTTACTATGTAAAAATGGAACCACTGAATGGTTTAAAGCAGTGGTCCCCAACCTTTATATCGCCACGGACCGGTCAACGTTTGATAACTTTACCACGGCCCACTGAGGGGGGACATTGATTGT